GCAGGAAACCACTGAGCTGGAAACCAGAAAACCTGGAATCTCAGACATGAAATTGGTAGGAGACTTTGGGACAGTCACTTAACCTCTGGGTTTCAGTTTCCCCATCTGGAAAACTAGACCAAAAATTTGTTCCAGCTAAAAAATGTTACCTAGCTCAGATAATCCACCCTGAAGTCAGTGAGTAATCTGCATTGTGATCAATAATGAAAACACACAAGCCCTGGCTGGTGTAGCTCAGTGGATTGAGTGTGGGCTGCGAACCAAAGCATCACAGGTTCAATTCCTGGTCAGGGCACATGCCTGAGTTGCAGGACAGTGGGGGCCACATGAGAGGCAACCACACATTGATGTTTCTCTCTCTCTCTTTCTCCCTCCCTTCCCCTCTCTAAAAAAAATAATAAATAAAATCTTTAAAATAATAAATAAATAATAATGAAAACACACAGAAAATACAATGACTTAAACTGAAATGAGGAAAAGCAGACATGTTGGGTAGTAGGCAAAAGCCAACACATCAGAAGCTATACCCAGTCAGATCTGATAAGAATGAAAACTGACCAGGGACTCAAACTTTTTTTCAATGGTGAAATGGAAAATAATTTAAATAAAAATATTTTCAGTGACATAAAGAGAGAAAAGTTTGAAATGGCCCCAACGCTATTGTCAGAAACATTTAGCTTCATAAAATGTGTTCTAGGAAAAGGTTCTTACAGTCACCAGTGTAGCTGGGGCTGCGACGCCAGTGCGACACCAGTACTCCGCCAGTACTCCGCCAGTGCTCTGCATGCTGAGTTGACCCTTCCTCAGGGCTGAAATGATGACTCGGTGACAGAAGAAGGAGCTGTCCTGCATTTCAAAAAGCTATGACAACACCCAAAGAGATCCTGACAGCGACTCTGACATTTGGAGAAGGACAGAGAAAGACCCTACAAGAGGCAGCAAGGCGAACTTGACAGTGATGGCTATGGGTTGTCACCAGCCAAGGACAAAGAGGATCAGACCTCTGACCTCCACTATGGCAGTATCAAGTTAGTATACGTCTGTAAATACACATGCACGCACATATACACTTATACACACACACATATACCTACACGCACACCAGAGCTGGTACCATCAGAGGGGTGTGTGTGTGTGTGTGTGTGTGTGGTAGGTGTGTGTACATATCTCTGCCTGAAAATACATGCACTGAAAACCACTGTACTATTCTATACTTCTTGCTAACTGAGCCCCTCTGGGCATGAATAAAAAGTAGATATTTTGGCTATTTCTTCAAAGGTGTCTTAGAGAAAACTCAGTCCAAACCTGGCATTTTACAGACGAGCAAACTGAGGCTCAGAAAAGGCCACTGCCCCGGGTGACGTCGTAAGGCCATGCCCAGCTCGTAGACTGCTAGAGATGATGTGGAAGGCTCGGAGCCTCTGGGCGAGTCCACCGCGGGGCAACACACCTCCCCTCCCTCCGCCCAAATACCTGGGGACGCTCGCTCTCCGCCTCGAGCACCCTGCGGCTCCCGGGGAGAGCTGTCATTTCTTTAATTGGACATTTTAAGCCAGCATCCAAAGGCAAGTCTACTTCGGTTTCGATTTTTAAATTAAGAGCTGTGGAGTTTGGCAGGGAGGGAGGTTTCCTGTTTGGCAGACACACACGCATGCTTCTGTTTCGTGCGTGTCCCGCTGAACGGCGAGGCCTGTTGTTTTCCTTATCGGACGCCTGACATTTGGACGGTGTCCTCCGTGCAAGCCTCACAGAGAATGCCTTTGTCAACACCGGGGCTCTGTCCCTCCTGTGCTCCGCCCTCACCGCCACCCGCCACCCCCACCCTCCGCTGAGCGTTCCTGGGCGGGAGCTCCGCCAACATTTTAAAATCACCTACATAAAACGCAGAGCCCTTGCCGCGCGGTGAAACCCTCCCTATCACAAACATATGTGGGCCTTGCTTCTTTTGTTACCCACGTTTTGGCAGCCAGAGGAGTGCCATTTCAGCTCTCCATGGGTTCTGCATGCACGAGAAGGGTCCAAGCGTTTTCTTGTGATATTTGCCACAAGTTTCTGAGCGGCGGCCAATCCCTTTCCACACCTCGGTGACACACGCAGCCACAATCTGGTCTCCCAAGCTGATGCTCTGTGCACAGCGCTGAGCAGGACGCAGGCAATGCCAGGCACTGGAGTGCGCACAGGCTGGGCTGGGGACGGCGACTTACAGGTGGCGGAGGTAGCCAACAAAGGATCTGTGGGACATGCTGAGCGTGCCCAAAGCCACCGTCCTCGGGAAGCAGTGCAGCAGATGGGGGACAGGCGATGTGCCCATTGCTCCCTGGCTGCGCAACATTCAAGTCTGCCCTTAGAGGCCTAAATACCAGTATTGCAACTTTCCCCTAAGAGTTGACTTTCAATCAAACATCTTCCCTGACCTTGACTTTTATCGTTTATGGGTTGGCCAAAAAGTCTGTTTAGTTTTTTCCATAAAATGAAAGACACATTTTTCATCTTCACCAATAACTTCATTCTTTGGATATTTGAGTATGTCGGCTCTCTCTCACTATTGACTTCTAGTGGGTAGAGGCCAGGGGTGCTGCTACACATCTTCCAGTACATAAGACAGACTCACAGTGAAGAATTATTTGGCCAAAATGTCAATAGAACCCAGAAACTTCACAAACCACTTTTGACATGTTCCCTTAGTCACAGCACCTTCTCCATACACTGCATAAATCTTTTTTTTTTTTGCATTCAGTTGCATTTTTACTTTTCTCGAAATAATAAAGCATAATATGCTGAAAATGTTGCGTATTTTCTTTCATCTTCCATATTAAAATAGCAGCACAAAAATGCACCAATTTTGATTTTTTTTAAATAAAATGCACACTGATATGACAACTGACCCAATACAGTCTAACAAAATTGTTTCTGATGAAGTTGAAGACAACTAAGCACCACTAGAGCCACTGTATGGAAAAAACTAAATGAACTTTTTGGCCAACCCAATCTAATTTTCCTCTTGTCATGTACATTCTTTACAAGTGATGCAGGGTAGTAATGATAACAATAGTACTAGCGAATATTTACTATGAGTCAGGTACTGCTCTAAGCTTCCTAGCTTATTGAATCCCTTCAAGAATCCCATGAAAACGCCATAGACCCTTGTTTAAGAAATGGATCACAGTTCTGGAGTGTACAGCTCTAGAGCTGAGAAGTCCACAATCAAGGTGCCAGCCAGTTTGGTTCCTGGTGGGATCTGCCTGGCTCCCACACAGCTGCCTTCCTGCTCTGTCTGCACACGGCAGAGGGGGTGGGGCAGGGAGTGCAAGTGGGCTCTTGGGTGTCTCTTCTTATAAAGACACTAACCCCATAGAATCAGAGTCCTGCCTTTCTGACCTCATTTAATCTAATTACCTCCCGTCCGTCCTACCTCCAAACACCGTCACTTCGTAAGCTAGGACTTCAACATATGACTATGTGGAGACACACTTCGGTCCATAGCAAGGAGGTCCTGTTTCTACCCCTATTTTTTAGGAGAGGAAATTGGGGCACAGAGAGGTAAGACACTGACCCAAGGTCATGTCGCTATGGAGTGGAAGATTTGGAATGCAAATTGTGGTCTTCCTATCTCAAACACTCATGTCTCTAACCACTGCCTTATACAGTTTCTCCATATGTATAGGTAGGTGTATGCAATAGTTGACTTGGGGGCAAAGAGGCAATAAAACCACTAAACTACCGTGAAGTTGCAGTGAAGGGGCTGGGAACCTGCACGCAGCTTTGGGGAGACAGAATCGATGTTGACACAGCACTTTCCGTCTTCTCTCCAGAACTCCCTGCGTGTAAACAGACACCCTTCCCGCCCTCCCCCGGCGCCATTTTCAGACCTCACACATGTGCTGCCAGAACCGTTTCTGTTGAGTCATTGAGCTGGCCGTTCCACCAGTCTTTAATCCTTTGGCATAATCCATCTCGATTTAGAAACTATAACACTGTAACGTTTCCAAGGTAGAGTTTCCTCTCACTTGAGCCCAGAAATATGTCTTTCAACTGTTTCCTTTGTCCAAGGCAGTTAACATTTTGGGCAATATCTACATTTCTTACATGTTATTTGGTGGTTAGAGTGGCTGGAGTTGCGGACACAAAGCTGCCCTTTTTACATTAGAACACACATAATTTTATTTGATCTATCATTTCTTCTAACAGAAATGAGTAATATATACCATAACCCAGGAACCCCCTATGAAATTCTTTGTGAACTCTCATTTATTATCTCAGAGCAAAGCACTTTCAAGGAAGTAAGCGTCTGATTAATTTCTGTTTGGAGCGTGTATTTGCCTCATGGAAAATTCAAGCATTTAGAAGCTGTAATTCCAAATACCCAGAGAGGCAGAATTGGGGTCCCAATGCTGCCTCAAATAAAACATTGTGGGGGAAAACAATCAAGTCCAAAAGATTTAAATTTCTTCTCTTGACTAAGCCAAAGCTCACTGAAGGGCTTTCTGGATTTCTCCAGAAACTTTCTGGAGGTGAACGGTGTAACCTTTGTGTCATCACGGGGGAGCCCTGCACATCCTTGAGGAGCTGAGACCTGCAAACCGAAGGCACAGGGGACGCCCCTAAAGTGGAGGTCGCACTGGGGCCATGACAGTGAGATTTTGCCCTGGGCTCCATGTACAACATCCAAATGCGATCCCAGGTTTGCCAGCGGAGATCGCATCGACCCTTCCTTCTGTAATTCATTCAGAATGAATGAGGTAGACTCATTCTTTCCACAATCATTCCCCTCTGGGGCTGAGGATTATCTTTCTGATTGCTGACCCAGACCTACCTACACTTTGGCCTTGATACTTCCAGACTCAGACCATCTTCCTCTTGTAGAAAGCAGGACCGCAGAAGAAACATTTTGGCTGACGTGACTCTGCCGGAGGCCAGCCACGCCTTCCTGGCTCTCGGGCTCCGCCGTCACTCCCACCGCCCCGGTCCCACTACCCGCAGGCCCCGCGGCATCGTCATACCTGGTGGAAGTTACCCACTTGCCGCACGTAACCGGCCACTTCCTGATCAGACTTCAGGATCTTCCAAATCTTCCTTTCCACTCTCCTGTACTCCTGGGATCCTTTCCAATTCATAACCATCAAGAAGCGCTCGGTCAGGGATGCTGGCAGGAGGACGTCCAGTTGGCCATTGTACAGGAGAACCTAGATGCAATGGAGGCAGATAAAAATGCAGGGTTTAGCCAGTGAAGCCAGGGACTCTATCCAGGTAGAGAAGGTGTGCCTGCGCAGGTGCACGTGTGTGAGAAAAGGGACAGCCAGGCGCGTCTCTGAGGCAGGCGGTGTGCTGGGAGAGGCCAGTCCCACAGGGCAGTGGGACCCCACTCTTCCAGGTGGCCACACACCCGACAACCTGAAATAAACTCAAGCCTTGTTGTCTCAGACCTTGCATTGGCCCCAAAGTTTGATTCTTCCTAGGAATCTATGTAAAGGCCCCTTTCGGTTGCAAAAGTGTGTGTGCCGTATTACTCAGTGATGTCACACACTCGGATGTGGGACCGTGTCAGAGAGGAGGGCTGTCATTCCCACATTTTAGTGGAGCCGAGGAATGCGACCCCCTAGGGTCTTCGTGCAGCCTGCCTTTCATTAACTTGGCCTTCAGACCCCGAGGTAGCTGGTGGGCTGGGCCTTCTCTGGGGGGTTGCTAACCCGTATCTCTCTCCTCTCTCACATTGGTTTTCCAGCGGTGGCTCCAGTCTTCTGAGGCAGACAGACAGATGCAGGTGCCTCCTATTTGTGGCTTGCTGGAGACGACTGTGTCTGCCATGCAACTTCCAAGACCTCCTTTTCTTAAATGAGATAGCCACTTGTCAACCGTAAGAAGTGTCCTATCGTCCCAGAATTTAATGTTTTTTTCCCTCAACACTGAGGAACTGCAAAACTCCCGGGACAGTGTAGCCTGGGTCTACTCTTCAGGGGAGCCGCGGTCTGTTTTTAACACAAAGACTTTAAACGTGGAGACCTTTCACCTCAGTAATCCCAATGTCTTAAATGTGATTTATGAAAATAAGCCGAAAGAAGTGAAAAAAATATATAACTGTATTCATTAGTCTCATTACAATGAAAAACTTGAACACCATCTAGACGTTCCGTAACGAGCGAGGGCTGGGATGAACTGTGCTGCATGAATTTTATGGGGTAGTGCAACACCATTTACAATGTTTGAACTTCGAACAACGCTGAAAGTGCTTGTCGCATAAATGCTAAGTGTGAAAGCCACGAGTCAAATACCTATCACAGTTATGATTGGCTAAAACAGAGATACACTTTCACATATACAGAACGAAACTCTCCAAAAAATGAATACAGTCGATGAATTAACGTAGGTGGTGGAAGTTTCGGTCATTTTCTCCTTTGCCTTCTACTCTGCTGAGGCTATTTTTATGCAACTGACACAATATTAATGCTCACGAAGCATGGCCACTCTATCCCCAGCAGGGAGGTTTTGCTCAACCCCATGGAACCTTTGATCTATTTGGAAGCTCTGGTTTGGCTCAGGCAAAGACCTTCGGTTGAATCCTCCAACTGGATATAAAATGTTTCACTGCACATGTTTCCATCTCCGCCTTCCTGGTGTAGGCTTCTTAAAAGGCTTACACATAATTAAACAGCCCGGGACCTTCACACACTGCAAATCCTCAAGCAGCACGGGCCGGGATTGGGCTGCAGATGAAAGGGCCCTTGGCCTCCGCTGCAAGAACATGGGGTCTTTCATGTCATCCCCCACCATCACCACCTCCCCTCCCCTCAGCAGAACCCCAAAGGGGAAAATCCCAGTCGATTCAAAGCATCTTTAAAGAACTCAACTCCCCCATAGCAATAAAAATGTGCATTGTTTATACAAAGACATTGCCTCAAAGACCTTGAGTACTTAGGGCCCAGACAAAACCGCTACAGCTGTTTCGCCAACCATATGGAAACAATTATATATGATCTGTACCAGCAAACAAGGCTTAAATGCTTCACCATTCTAGGAAGGCCTGATTATAGCTGATTAACGAAGATAATCATCTATAAAGTAATTCCTCTGCTAGACCTCAATGAGAAGATGCTGATTAACTAGCAAATGCGCAAGTGTCTCTGGACGTTTTCCTTTCCGTCGGACGTGAAGCTTGCATCTTTCTGAGCATCTCTTGTGTCTGCTTACTATCATCAGTATATTTTGGAATTGATTTAAGGGATTTTACTCCATCGATGTCCTCTTTAAGGGAGGAAAACTCACAGATGACAGCAAAAGCAGGCTCAGATGTAAAGCATGAGAGGGCATGTTTGTTGAACTGAATTTAGATGAAACCCATCCCTGAGCCGTGTCCCTGGTTCCTCCAGACTCATCATAAACTGGAGCATTAACTCCCTGGACTGAGGTAGTGATGGGCTGAACTGCATAATTTTGTGCATGTGATGTGCGGAAGGCCCATCTTGGGGGACAAAGGGAAATCCTTCTGTGGCAAAGCAAGGAAAAGATTTTTAACTTCTAAAGGGCACATGCAACCAAAAAAAGAAGTTGGATTAAGGATCAAGTGAAGTGATTTCAGAGCTGGCATTTAAGGCTGCAAGCCTTAAATATAAGAATTCTTGAGCTTTTGCTTTTATCTAAATGTCACGTTTACTCTGGTCAGCCCCTACAGGAATATCCCAGTTGTCTCTGGGGCTGGGTAAGTGGGCAAGATAACCCAGAATGCAGTGCCAGTGAGCTGAGAAGCCAGGTGGGTGGAGTGCTAGCCTGGGTGGTCCTGAAGCCCACTGGCACATGTGGGCGACCCATGTCCTGAGAGTCACACATGTTTGAGGACAAGGCACAAGCCCTGGCGGGTTGGCCAATAATATAGGGTCTGCACACACACATTTACTTCATTTCTTCTCTGTAGGGCGACCAGCTGTCTCGGTTTGTTCCCGGGCTGTAGAGTTTCCCAGGATGCAGGACTTTCAGGCTAAAACTGGGACAGTCTGGGGCAAACCTCCCCCTGAGGCTTGCTGGTATTTTAAGCAACAGGGTCTAAAGACAGAGTGGAGACAGACATGAATGCAGCTTTGAGCTCCACTTCCCTTGTCCGTAGTGAGTTTAACAAAACACGGAACAGGAACGGGGCTGGAGTTGGTTGACCAGGCAGCGCCCACAACACATCCTCGCTTGCCTCTCTGGTCCGCTGGGAGGCCTCCTTTTAGAGAATGTCCTTTCCTATTAGCACTTAAAGATCTGACTGCTTAGCTTGTTGAGACTGATGGTTATGCAAAGACATGGAAAAGTATTCTTTATTAAAAAAACCAATGAGAAACTATAATTCCACTGTTGGTGCTCTGTAATTACTATAAAAAGATGCTTTCCACTTGGGAAAAGAAAACATCAAAATGCAAGCAGTTAAGGTAGTTTAAGTATGGCTGATTCCTTTTAACCTGTTTTCAAGATTTTTTTTGTGGTTAAGATGCTTTTATAATGAAAAAAATAAATAAAACAAAACAATAACAGTAAGAGGTTAGGCACCTCCATCTGGCAAAACGATGGTCTTCACTGCAGAATAATTTGCGCAAACTCAACTATTACCAGTTCTCAATTTTTCATGATAACTAGGTGAAAAAAAAAGGCATAACTTTAATTCATTCATAGATGACCCCAAAAAAACTCATTCCAGAATTCAAGCATTTACAAGGGAGGGTGCTAGGTCATTTAGATTACAAGCATCTTTTTTTCTTTCTTTTTCTTTTTTGTCAAAAGGCAGAGATGAGAAAAGCATTTTTATTATGTTCTTTCCTTTCTGAAGTGCTGTCACGGATGTGTGGCTTTATTCTCGCACTGCTCCACGAGGTCAGGATAAGAAGCGTTACATAGCTCACCTCCACAGCGAGGTGCCAGAATGCATCCAATCACGAACTTCCAAACTTCTGCCTAGAACTCCTTCGGAAAGGAGCCGAATTCCTTCCAACCAACAAGCATGCGCTGACCCCCCACAGCTACATCTCTAGAAATGGACGGTTGGTTGAGCACGACACAGCTCCTATCTTCAATTCAGAAACACTCGAGGTCCGCTTGTCCCGGTCTGACCACGTACCTCCGTCACTTCTCGCGCCGGCTCCGTGGACAGCGAGGTGTGCAGGCGCACTGCTCAGCTGGTGACCGACGCCTCCCTTCTGCCGTAGGGCGTGGCCTCGATGAAGCAGCTGTGCAATACCGTCAGCTCCTAGCAAAGGAGGCTCGCTCGGCACTCCATCCACCCACAGCCCTCGCACGGTGCCTGGCACCCCGTAAACCACACTGACACTTAGAAGGTATAGTCAGCTGCTCTCTTTCAAGGCTCTCTGTAATGCTGTGTGGGGACTGTCTGCGGCTGTGGCTTGCCCAGGTCCACTTCTCCCTCTCATGAGGACTGTATGTATTCCAGTCCCTCGAAGGATGCAGCCCAAGTGGAGGCTGTCACTCAGTAGAGTCCCTCCTTTTCTGTGCCAGGGATGAGCACGGGACTGAAGCTCAGATTCCCTGATGAAGCTGCCCATTAGTTTTGACACCCGGATTCCCAGAATTTTCCCTGGCCCCTATCTTTCTGCACTCTAGGTCTTCAGGTGTGCTGTGAATTCTGTGATCTAGTACGTCTTTGATTCCATTCCTTTCATGCTTCAAGTCACCGGAGTCGTTTTCTGTTGCGAAAAGCATGACATGCAAAGCCATGCACCATCAGGCCCATGAACACGGGCCTCAGCGGCACGCAGTACCTGGGACCCCATGGACATGTGGCCTAACCTCCGTGAGCTTCAGTTCCCTTTTCTCAACGTGAAGATGGTAAGGCCTACATCTTGTTGCAGTGAGAACTAATGAGGCGATGTGCATACAGTTCCTAGTGCACTGCCTGGTACCAGTTGGGAGTTCAGTGAGTGTTAGGTCAGCTTCGGCCTTATTGGATAATTTGGTAATGGCTCAGCAAAGCACTTCTTCTAAAATAAGCCTTCAGAGTGTGCATGGATGGTCCTTCTGCGCTACACACTTGGTTGCCAAGCTCACTCTTTCAGACAAAGGCCTGCCTGCCGTAGGAGGAAGTCCAACCAGGGTAAACCTGAACTCCATGTATTCAGACTCCCAAAATACACACCTCTCAACTACGACTTCTACACATATCGGGGGTGCACTGCACCCCAGAAGTATCATCTTGGTAATC